ATACTTAAAAGTACCCAAACAAGAATTAAATAACGACAATATAAATGTAGTTACACTATACAAATGTAGTCCAAGATCTCGTCGAAATGACACTAAGCTCGAGATGGCATTTTGTGTCAAGTCACGAGCATAACTCAATAAAAGTTTGCTCACAACTCGTAGTGTAGGGTACTTACGGCAAGAGAATATCTTAAAATTTAATGTTTCAGTGATTTCCGATAAATTAACACGTACATGAAATATAGCAATATTTACGTCAAATTTCAAGAACTCGTGCTAGAGTTGGATATGGTTCCATTTAGTTCTGATTCTGAAAGAACCAAAGCGAACTATAAAACAATAATTTTTTATTATTATTATTATTATTATTATTATTATTATTTTTATATAACGGAACCAAATGATTTTTGTTAAGATATGAAACCAAACCAAATCGAAATGAACCGTTCGGTTTGGTTTAGTTCTATTTTTATTTCATAAATTTTCGGACTTACACTATGTTCATAAGTTAATAATATATACTAACATAAAAATATAATAAACGTCAATGCGTTCAGCAAGTTCAAGTTATCAATAATCAAAATCACAAAAATCCAAACTAAGAAACAAATATAGTCATTATTTGAATGTATAAATCAATTTTTCATTCTCATGTGATGTTTAATAAGGAACGGCAATTATTCACCAAATTAATTGCAGCAGTTCTATGTTACACATCCACAAGAAAGGAAGAATTATGCAAAATTCTTATAGTCCACTTTCATTGGCAATCATTAATTGTTTAATGCTCCATGAACATTTATTGAATTTTTCTCTATTTATGAAGGACACAAGTAATTCATCAAACAATCAAAGTAGTGGTGATAGTAGTAGTAATAATAATTTAAAGGCTTTTTAAATTATTGACCAATTTTATTTCTCGATCTTGAAAGAATCTCCTCCCTTGACTGATGAAATGCAATGCCAACGTGCCGCAACATTGTGTAGATTGAAAATGACTAAATGAGTGAATGAGAAATAATTTAAAAGAATACAAAATTAAGGTGTACACAATTAATGAGTTGTCTTCAATGACACAAAACTTATCAATGAGCTATATCCAATTAATAGACCGGTTTCAATAAATACAAAATTAGGGTATCCAATAATATATATAAGTTTGGTTATGGTTCTTCTTCGATTCAAAACCAGAATCATTAAATTTTTTGGTAGAATCAAACCGAGTAGCTAGATTTGGTTTGATCTAAACATTTTTTCACTCCTACCTTGGGCACTGAGTCACATAAAACAGCTGTACAACGTGACAATAAATTATTTTATGTAATCTATCGATTCAATGTCTACTAGAGCTTGACAAATACTCATGATATTACAGCGCTCACTTCAACTTTTAAGGAATTGACAACCTTCCTTTTTTTTTTTTCTTTTAGTTCTCAATATTGATATCATGTATAATTTAGAGTCAGCTCATATGTAAGTTTGAATGTAATGCCCAAATTATTGAAAATTTCAATAGAACTTTTTCGACCAATGATCAGTGCATATGCGAAGATGAGAACTTACAAATTAGGTTAACAATAAACGTGTTAGTTATGTCTAGGGATATTAGGTGTGATGAGCAACTTGTTGACTCAGTTCATGTTCAATGTGAGCCGATATGTGCAAGTCAAACAGCGATTCTCATGTTAGCTGTTTGTGCGATTCACACGAATTTGCTTGCGAGCTCGTTGACTCATCATAATGCTTGAAAATGACATCTTTAACCGAAAAATGGTGAAACGTGAGTGGCTCATGGACTTGCTCTGCTCGCCCACTAATAGGTGAACTTGTTGGGTGAGCTCGCCCACACAGTGAGTCGACCTCGACAGCGATAAAGCTCGTCCCATTTAACATTCTTTGCTAAAGTCCTTTAATTTTACCATTTTATTCTCCAAAAAAAATTCATGATTTAACATGGCTTGCACCCGCACTAAAGGGGTGTCTCTATACACACACACACACATCATATTTTTTGTGTGATGACATCAATTATAACGACGGTCTTCAATTTTTACACTCATGTTTTCAAATTTTTTTGCACTTTTACCATCTCAAGAACACCTCGTTTCATATGATGATTTATGTCCAAATTTTATATTAACATACATTAAAGTGAAGGACAAACATATTGTCTAACTTTGTATTTATTATTTATTTCATGCATATATATATATATATATATATATATACATACAAGAAGCAAATATTTCTTTTTATGTCCTCCAAAAAGATAATTTTTTTTTGTTTGACCGAAATAGAAGTCAGAGATGGGATGTGCAAATTACTAAATGTTTAAAAAAAGAACGCGATTGAAAAAATTTGAGGACATAAGTGCAAATTGAGCAAAGATTAGGGACATTCATTTCAATTAAAATAAAGCTGATTAACAAAAAAATATGGTGTGAAATAATCACTGTTCACTCAAGATACTTTCATGGAAATAATCTTTTTTT